TTCAAAACCATCGTTAGCAGCTTAATTCACTTCCAGAAATGCATTTTGCCCAAGTCATTTGTCAAGGGTTTCAGAACAACCTTCGCCAGGCTCCTGCAGGCCCCTGATACCCAGTCTCTGCACAGCTGCATTTTGTTCCCAGTTTGGTGAACTGGCTGCTGGGCAATAAAGCAGGGGAGAGCTTTGTGTCTCCTTCTGCTTCCAGGGGCAAAGGGAAAGTTGTACCAGGTTGGTCAGAGTATGTTCAGGGACTTGAGCATCCACGTGGGGAAAAAAGAAGTTTGACCTTTTGGGCTGAAAGCCATGGTCAGGTGCCTGTTGTCTTCACCTAAGGCTAGAGCCTGACTGCTGATGCAGACGCTCGCTTGCCTTGTGACCTGTGGGTTTGCTGTGGCTGCGAGCTCTGCAGGCACGCAGTGCTCCGCTTGCTGCTTGGACTGCACCTAGTGCAAGGCAGGCTCGACCTTTACCTGTCTCCAGGACCTGCTGTACCATGCACCTTCCTGCCAGAGCTGCGGGTGGATGTCCTGCACAACCGGTGAAGCCGACTTAGCAAAGATGGGAACAGCGAGCAGGTGAGCTCCGCTCCCGCCCCGCGGTCGCCCTGGACAGGTTCCTCTTCTGCGCGAGGAACTCCCCCTGCACGGGTGCTGAGGGGATTTCATGGCCTCCAGCATGGCGGGGAGCCCTGAGCGAGCGGCAGCCCTCGGAGGGCCTCTGTTATGCCGCACCTTGCCTCTGGCATGTTTCCATCAGCTTCTCTGCCTTCAGAACTGTTTTTGCCCTGCACCTCTTCTGGGATGTAGGCAAGCTCCACTGTTATAGTGGGTAGCTCTGCTCCCGCACCCAGCGAAAGTGTAGGGCAGTCTTTCAGAAGGATTTTTTTTTAACTGCGAGGAATAAACTCCCGAGTGCAAGACTGGCTAATACACGTGCCTTCACACAGCTCCCAGTAGCTAGTCTGAGCTTTCGTCTTTGTTGTTTTTCTGCCTTGGGTGCAATTCCCATGCGAGTCAGCTGGAACTTCAGAGGTTTTTGGTGAAAGCAGAACCCAGCTTTCTCTGCCTTGAACGTTTGTGAGCGGCTGTTGAGAAGAAACAGTCATTTTTCCTGGCATGCCTTTAGTCAGTGTGACCTTAAGAGTGTGAAAAACAGAGGGCCTAGTGGTGAATGCAGTGGTTAAGCAGCAGCAAGAGTGTTTTCACAAGGGGACTTAAATTCAGGTATTAACACAGAAAACTTCCATGAAGACAAATGGGGCTTTTGGGTAAGGTTTGACAGGTTGGGTTAGGCACTTACAACAGTGTGGAAATTGCTAGAAAAGAAGAACAGATTGTGAAGTGCCGTAAGCGTTCAGATTATGAGCTGGACCATTTAGGGAGTAATAGGTTCTTACCGTATGCAAAAAGCACACTGTGAAAGTTTACCAGTGCAATACTGCAACATTTAATGCAGATAACACAGTTGCGTTACTGATCAGTTTTCTACTTTGCACACTGAAAATGATGGTCCTAATTTTTTTCACCATCTAAATGGACATGGCTGGTGCCAGAAACCCTGAGTAATGAAACCGGTAAAGCTAATGAGACTTAGCCTGTCTTACTCATGAAAAGACTTATTTGTAAAACTTATTATGCATGCAGGAGTCTAGCTTTAAGCATCCACTCTAAAAATTTAGGCAACTGGAAATAGTTTTCTATTGAGTTCTTTTTGCACAGAGACAGCAACAAACCAGTCAACTAGATAACTCCCCGTACATGTATTGTCTTTTTTTTTTAAGGATTCTGACTGACTTTGTCTTCCCTTAAAGATTTCTGAATTTATAACTTATTTACCTCTCTAACGGTATGTGGAATTCATTGGACAAGTGGAATTATTTTTTCAAAATATTCTCCAGAATTTGAGAAAGCTGTTAATTTTATCCTGAAGGATGTGCTCTAGTGTAGATCAAATCTGCATGTTTCACACTGGTACAGAATTCCCTGTCTTAAAATTTGCAAAAGAGAGAAGGCATTAGATGTGTTCTTTTTATGGTAATACTTTTGGATACATTTTTATACTTAAAGAAATTGCAGTTGGAGCCCTGCGTACCACCCATTCTGGCTTCTAGGAATCATACCTTGAATTTCTGGAAAACGTTTCTGATGCCTATGGCTAAAGCTATGGTTGCTCCTGTCTTGATTTATGATGGCAGTCACCTCCAATGTCCAAGACGTGTTTTAATGTTAAAGGTACTTTAACTAGTGACTGAAAAAAAATCCGACAGGCACTGCCAACTCTTTTTCTAGACGATAGCGTGTGTTACAAACTAAATATCTAAAAATGCCTGTACCTCTCACTTCCCCCTCAAAATGTGGTGATAATTACATCTAAATTTCAGAAGATGGCGTTGAAGATTTGCAATTAATATTCTAAACTCCGCATGTACCCTCCGCACCGGCGGCCTGCCAGAACAGTGCGCGATGACTGGTTTTTGATCTGATACGTTAGCGCAGAAAGGATGTGGATGTGTGTTGGAAACGTTAAAACAGAACAACAACAAGAAAGTGTCGTGGCATGAAACACGTGTTTGAAACCTGAAAGGCGGCAAGGAAGATTTTCACGCAAGTCCGCACCTTGCTCTTCCTCTCCCCCCCCTCCCCCGCCAGCTCCCGCTTCGTTAGCACAGGAGACTCTGCCAAGAAAGCAAGTTATTAACGCCCCCAGCGCTCCCTTGTGCCGGGTGCCCCACGTCCAAGTTGATGCGCTGATGTTTAACACGGGCTTTCCCAGCGGAGAGGCGCCTCTGCCCCCGGGCGGGGTCGCCGCCGGCCCCCAGGGCGGCCGGGGCTGGCGACGGGCCGGGCTCGCTGCCGGATGGGGCCCGGGGGGTTCGTGACATTTTTGGGGGCGGCAGCCCACGGGGGAGGCCCGCCGG